GGCCCTCCTTATACAAACAGGTACCTTCTGACAAGCGTGTTCGTTGTAATTTAAGGTGACCAAATGAAAAAAATATAACAGGATTCCTGTATTCACTGCCGCTCAGAGACCACTGGTAATGGTGTGGCTAAAAAATCTTATAAATAAATAAATACAAATTTACTACCTTTTAAATACAATTCTAATGTGCTTGCATTCAAAGCTGCCTCTGGTGAAATGTCATATTTCAAAGCATTTATTCAAGCTGCGGGGACCCTGCTCCCTTTTTAAAGAAATCAGGTCCCCTGAAATTAATTACTTTGCTAGGCTGTGAAGCTTGAACGGTTGGAGGCAGGACCGAGGGGGTCAACAGCTTGAAGCTGGGGGTGGCCATTTTGTGTCTCTCTGCTCTGCGTGACAGAACTAGTGTGCACAAAATGGCTTCCCTTTCGGGAAGGCAGGGAGGGAGAGCCTCCACCTTGTCATTTCCCTCCCTTCAGAGGAGAATTTTATCGTGGGAACAACCAGGCAGCCAAGGCTGAAACCGAAAGGCAGCAGCGTGAGGCTTGGCCTGGGAGCAAGACACAAGGAATAGATCAGGTCTAACAAAACAACGCCCCTGGCCCCTCCACCCAACATTCATTGCCTACACTGAACTTCTCCTCTTTCCTATCCTACAAGCTCTCAGAGAGGTGGATCTGGCAGCTGGCTAGCTTCTCCTTCTCCAGCTGAATTGTCATTTTTTTAAAAAAAGCTATCTTCCCATCTGTCACTTTTCTGGGAACCTCCACACCCCCTGCGTGATCCTTTGCTGACCCTCCACCAGGACCACTTTAGACTCTTTCCAGCCCTGCAGAGATGGGCTTTCGGGGGGTTTCAGGGCAGCCCTAAGAGGCACCACAAAGTTTGTTCTTCCAGACACCTCGGACGTGTTGCCACTTCCCTTCATTGAGGCAGGGAAATGGCAGCATTTCCTCCAACACCGGACCAAGAAGAGGGGTCTCTATGGGTGTCTGGCACCCTGTGGGGTTGGCAAGGCAAAAGGCCCACCCCCCAGTGTTGGCAGAGGTGGGTGCAAAAATGCCTCTTGTATATGCATGCACACACGCTTGTGGCTGGGGAAGCAGGCATCCAGGCGTCCCCACGGACCCATTTTGTCAAAGAGGGAGGCAGGCAGGACGCAAGACACAGGAAATCCTCAAATAAGAACCATAGCTGGGTGTATTTTTTAAAGGTCTGCATATTTATTAATAAGCCAACTTCCTATACATTCTTTTTTATAGACAAAAGTAATTTATTCTGGCAAAACTCTGGTCTCAGAATTAAAAGCAGATTTGGAGGGGGAAATAAACTTCTGGATTCAAACTCTGCAGTTCAACAAATTGTAAACACTTGATCGCTCCAGCCATGGCCAGGATGTTTGTGGCGAGTAGTCATGACACCTGTTACCGCTTTTAAAATTCATCAGCTATGCCCATGTCTGGCTTCACTTGGTGCCACCATTTTGTCTTCCCTTCTTCCTGCCCAGCTGGACTGGCATAAAATGGCTTCTATTCCAACCACATTTCTCCCCAGGATGCTTATGTTCTGATCCAGAGGCTTGCTTTGGGCAAAGTCTGTAAGAGATGAAGACAGAAACGAAAAGCTGCATCTGTGCGCCAGTTACGCTGCTAGCCTTGGGAACGATTGAGAAAACATCTGCCCAAGAGAGGATGGTTTGCCTCCCCTCACTAGCCACCTGTGAGGCGTCCCTGCAGAATAAAAACCACCTCGAGACAGCCAGGAAGCAGCCCGCCAACCAAATTTCCTCCCTCATGTGTGTTGAGGGCAAGGGCATCAAACACCCACCGACCAACCTAACTCCCTTGAAGTACAGGGTTGTGAGGGGAGAAAAACAGCCACATCTTGTGCAGTTGTGGTGACAGGTGCTCTTTCCAGCCTCTGGCAGAAGCTGTGATTGTGGTTTTCCTGCTTAAAAGCAAGCAAACGACACCCATTTGTCTTTTCAGATTATTTTAATTTCTGCAAACACTTCCACAATAGGGATCTTTTTAAAACGTGAGATGAATTAATATATACATTTTCTTTCCCTTTCTACATCCAAGTTTCTGGCCCGGAACAGACAGAATTTACTTTCATCTCACTCCTGCAACCCTGTGAAGTCGATCAAGATGAGACATGTAACCACTAGACAGTGCGTCACGGCTGAGTGGAACCCAGATCTGTCTCAGCATATTATAGTTTGCTCCACGCTGTTCCATTTACATCTGGGAGCATCAAAAAGGGCACCCAGGTTTGGTCTCTTGTACAGGGCCAGTTCCCCAAGAGAACTTTGCCCATGCTCTACTGTGCCCTCTTGGCCACCAAGACAACATCGGAATCTGGCCATCAAATTACTCAGTGTTGTTCCCAGTAGAGCTGAGCCTGTTCCTGGATTTTCTCTCTCCATCTTTTTCCCTACTTCATGCACTTTTAAAATCATAGTTTTCATGCTTTGACATTTAAAAAAAATGAACTACAACTCCTAGTGTTTATAAAGTCATCATTTTCAAGAATAAATTGCTAAATGCAGAGAACAAGCTTTCGGCTCCCTCTCAAGGCAGCAGAATTCATTACGTTTATAGTCAAATATGGGGAGAGAAGGAGCTGTGACAGAGGGAAAGGTTTTCCTTCAGTAACCGTCCTGCTCCCCCACCCTGCATTTCTTTCTTAATTATAAACTTGATTTTTTCTCTCTGTCTGCTGATCCTCGACTGCTCCCTGCTGGAGAGCAGCAAGAAAAATCAGGTGGTTTCTGAGAAATCATGCCAGGGCAGAGGACGGTCTGAGCAAGTCACAAGGCACCTGAGTCAATTCACACACCCGCAGGGCCCGGGTGCACAGCATTGTCATTGGCACCCAGTGTATGTTTGGAGTGCAGGGAATGGGTGGAGGGTGGGGTTTCACTTCACTGGGGCTTATTTTGGGGGTAAAGCTTATATTTCAAACATCCTGAAAAATCATACTAGGGCTTATTTTCAGGTTAGGTCTTATTTTCAGGGAAACAGTGTAAATATTTCTCGGATAGGGTACGAGAGCCCTCCAAAGGGAAGGGGTGGTTGTGTATGCCTTAGCCCTCCCCTCCCCCCGGAAAGCAGGATGTTGCCCACCCTCTGTTTGCTAATCCATTGATCACCAAGCCTCAGACTGCCCTCTGTCTCTGAATTTGAAGCGAGGGAAGGCTGGCACCCTGGGAGACAGGCTAATTTTAAACAGTACAATACAGTGGTGCATCACTTAAAGGGTGCTCCATTTAGTGACGAAACCACATAGCGACACATTTTTTGTGATGTTTCCTATGCGGTTTTTTGGCTTTGCGATGATCGGTTCCCTGTTTCACTTACCGATCACCGCAAAGCAATGATTTTTTAACAGCTGATCGGTGGCTCCAAAATGGCTTCCGGGTAAACAAAATGGCCACCCGCTGTGTTTTCGCACGGATTCCTCGATTTAGAGGCAGCAAAAATGGCGGCGCTATGGAGGATCTTCGCTCATTGGTGAGTTTTAAGCCCATAGGAACACATTAAGGGGTTTCAGTGCGTTTCTATGGGCTTTTTAAAATCGCATATCGACGTTTTCGTTCTGCAGCGATTTCTGCGGAACGGATTAATGTCGCTATGCAAGGCACCACTGTATATCTATCTTTGCTGATGGGGCAATAACATAGCTTGGCTCTGCACTCCAGCACAAAGCACACAATTTGGCTGCACTGCCAAGACAGTCTTGACTAGGTTGGGGGAAGAGGGGGTCGGGGCCAACCCTCTTCTGGCGAGCCAGTCGGTCCCTCGAAGAGTTGCCATCCTTCAGCACGGGTGTGCATGGAGGCTTGAAAGGGAAGCTTGCACATGCTTTGAGCTCCGTTTTTGTGTGGTGGTTTTTTTTTAATTCTCCAAAGAACATCTGGATATTTTGCCAGATGTTTTGACACCATTTCCAGAGTTGAGCCACCTTGAATCACACTTTTCAATCTGTTGTGTTTCTTTTCACGGACCAGACCCTTTTCTTACCCTGAATGACTTAATAAACGGATTGATTCCACATCTGAGTTAAAATCAATGGCCCTCTGGTGAAAGAGTAAAAAAAAAAAAGAACTTCTTATAGCAAAAAAAAAAGTTCCCAGTTAAATCAATTCACACTTTCATTTGTGTCATGCATTCTTTTTTTCATTGATTTAAATCGTGTTAAACCCAATATGAATGTGTTTTTTAGTACTATAACTGCTCTCTTGGCAAGAGAGAAGCAGAATCTGAAGTTTCCTTTTCTAAGAAACAGAAGAGGGAAGCAGCCAGTCTGGCCCTTCCCTGTACAGTGGTGCCCTGCTTGATGATGATAATCCGTTGCACCAAAATCGCTGTTAAGTGATATCGTCATCAAGCAAAAGAAAAAAACCCAGTGAAATGCATTGAAAATCTTCAATGCGTTCCAATGGGCAAAATACGTCATCATCCAGCAAAGATCCTCCTTAGGGGAAGCAATTTTCGGTCGCTGTCTTCTGGAAAACAGGTCCGGAAAACAGTGGGTGGCCATTTTGAGAATCCGGCGATCAGCTGTTTTTGATCGTCGTAATGCAAAGAATCGGTTCCCAAAGCAGGGAACCAATCGTTATGAAGCGGATTTTCCCCTTTGAAACATTGTTTTGCGATTGCAATAGTGATCGCAAAAACCTCATCTCTGCACAAACGAAATACTGGACATAAATATGTCAGGACGGGCAGCACAAAAAATCCCATTTCAGAACATTTCGGTCCACCTGGGCATTCTTCGAATGACTTGTAAGTCCCTGTTTGGGGTGAAAAACACTAGAAAACAAGAAGTCAAAGAAAAACAGCTCAGATAAGGTGTACTGTATATAGGATGCCCTTATATCCATTAAGGATACCTAACGTCATTAAAAAGTGCAAAATGGCAAATGGATCCACACTTGGGTTTGTCACTTGTGGCAACTGTGCTCTTATTACCTTGTAGACTAATAACGGACCTTCTTCAAAGCCTGATAGCATATGATTTTATTAATAAGCATATGATTTTATTAATAAACAATTACCGATCTGTCCACGCTCTGTATCCCCACCAGGCCAAGAGACTGTGTGTAAATTTAACAGCCTTATTGGCTCACTCTTACGTTTGAGGACGTGGACTTGATCCACAGTGACAGAACTTAGGCTTTAAAGTACCACATGTTTTTAATTGTCTTTCTTTAGCTTTGCTTTTGCTCCACCAGACCAAGGCTGCCGCAGAGATGAAGAGGATGCTGACCAGCCCAAGGCTTTCTCTGAACTCAAAGCCTTTGACTCCAGGTACCTTTCTTAGGAAATAAAGTGAGGGATGGAGAAAAGGGAAGAGCTGGGCAGCAGAGAGGGAGAGACCTGGCGTCGTGATGCTCTCACCTCCAAAATGTTCTTAACCACCCCAAACACAGAGGGATGGTGTGTGTGTGTGCACGCGCGCACGCACGCCAACAAATACCACCGGAACATGTTCTGATTAGTCAGGGATCAGAAATTACAAATTGGACAAAAACTCCTTCGCAGTCGGGAATCGGGAGAAGCCCTTTTGGCCAGAGAGAATACTGTTCCACAGAAAAAATCCCCAATCCCTCCTGTTCAAGTCTCTGAGGCGGTTCCTTCCCTGGGGCCTCTAAGTCCCTACAGAGATTGGTCCAGGCAGGGTTGGTTCCTCTCTCTCCATGGAGCCCCAGCACCATTTGATCGGCTGATTAGTTCTGCCTCTGGAAGTGAGTAGAAGGGACAATCCATCTCTTGAAGATGACCTCCTTTCGCTACATAAAATGAACATCTCATGGTGGGTAGCAGCATTCCTGACTCATCCATTTGAATAAAACTGATCAAGAAAGATGGATGGTAGGCCTAGAATTCTTGCTTCAGATGCAAAAATCTTTCATTCATAAAATTATTATTATTAATTATGATTATTCCTCAGGCAGACTCAAGAGGACAGTTCTAAGCCACTCTTTGTCCAAAAGAGGAGCCTGGAACAGAGTCTTCTGGTTGTGGCCTTATCAGAAAGTGCATCACATCGAGCAAAGCTCCTTGTAGTCCCACCGATGGACTGATGACAGCCAGTGGAGGAAAGTGAAGGAGCTTCCAAAAAAAACCCAACAGGATTCGGAGTGTGGAGGGACTCGCTCTTCTTCATTCTCCTTCCTCTGGAGGATGTACCACCACCGAGTCAGCTAAGAGGGGAAAAGAGAGGAAGATTCTGTTTAGAATGAAGCCAAGATAAGAAAAAAACAAGCAGCCCAGACTATAGGTCAGGAAGTGGGAGAGCTCTCAGCTTTTGTCCACACGCCACCCCACCCCACCCTCACCCCCAATGTGGAAAAGCAGGGAGAGCCATCCCCGGAGATCTCTCCACCAGAGTGTTTGGAACCTCCGTCACTTGCTGGAAAGGAGGGAAAAGACAGGAAATCAGTGTTCACAGTTGGGTGGAATGGGGTAGGGGCATTAATGATTTGTATCTCTTGCTTATTTTATTTGTTTATTTAAAATATCTCACCATACCTTTTTGGTCAAAGGACCCAGGGCAGTTTATAGTGTTAAACAGCAAACAATTTAAAGGCAAACACCAATAAATCATTACAATATTTTAAAAAGAATCAAACAAATAGATCAGACCTCTCCAGAAATGGGCACAACTGGTGGACTAGTTCCAACTGTGCAAAGGCACTCCTGGCCACCGCCGAAATTTGGGCATCCAAGCTCGGAGATGAATCCACCCACGCGTCTGTGTTTTGAAGGGGAGTGTAAACCCCCATCCTGCGCAGGCTGTATCTTTTGTCTGACCACGAGCATCTCTTGTCTTCCCCGGATTAAGTTTAGGTTTATTCACCTTCACCCCATCCATTACTGACACCAGACACCAAGCCAGAAGCAAAGCTGCCTCCTTGTATTTAGACAGAAAACACAGAGAGAGAGAGTCGGGTGTCATCTGTATACTGGTGACTGTGAATGGTTAGAAGGTAGAAGTGAGCCGTCCACAGAAATCAAAATAAAAGACAAGGACAACGGAAGGAAACAACAGGTTAACAGCAAAAGTGGCGAAGAAGACAAGAAAGAGTTAATAGAAGGAGAGGGGGAAGGGAAGGTAGAGGTATGCTTGGC